TTGACGTTCGCCTGGTGCTGCAGTAGGAACTTCACCAGCCTGATGTTCCCGTAGTGACTGGCCACGTGCAGCGGGGTGTACCCCATCTGGAAGGCAGGAGGGGGGCGTGGCTGACCGGCAGGGCTTCTGGGCAAACCAAAGGCCTTCCGGAGCTGGTGTCTACGGAAATCTTTACGGAAGCAGCCGATGGACAGAGGTCACGGACCGAGAGGCCCTTCGGAAGGCTCAGGCGGCCAGGAGGCACGGCGGCCAGGCGGGAGCAGGCCTCGGCTTCAGGCAAGCCAAGGCCGAGCGGCCGTGGCGAACCAAGGGCAGACTGACCCCGAGCCCCACCAGGCTAGAGTGGGGCCCCCCGCGCAAGGCAGCGGCAGCAGCCCTGGAGACGGGTTGGTCCCCGGGATAAGGCAGAGGAGGGGGGCCCAAGGAGGCAGGACTCGGAGTCAAAGGCAGAAAGGAGGGAGGAGGGAGACCGGCGAGACGCTGCAACGGGGTCCAGGAGGGTTCTCTCAGGAGGAGGGAACGGCTGTCAGCCCCGCTGCTGAGAGGGCTGAGATGTGGAACCGTGCCTCACCCCGGTGAGAGCAGACTTGTTTCTGCTAGGAAGGAGAACTCCATCGTAAAACCCCAAAAATGCTGTCCGGGTTACTCTAATAGCTGTTGCACAATGGAATTTATGGGGACTGGCCATTGCTTGAAACGAGTGGGCTTGGATATTTATCCACAGGAGTTTGGGCTTTGAAGGGGCCGGTTTCCCAGGACTCTGTCCCGCTGATTGCAACGCGTGCGGCCCTCAGCGTACAGGCTCCAGAGACCCTTGGCTCGAAAACCGGCAGGCCGGACCTTCGACCTTCGAGTAATAGCAGGCCTGGGGTCCTCGAGGCCTTGCTGACCCACAGCACGGGGTCTCTCGGGGCGGGACCCAAAGACTAACCTGGGCGAGCAAGGGAAGCCTCAAAGACCCAGAACTTTCTTGGGTTCTAACGGATTCCCGTGGACGCTGCAGGCAGTTGGGGACAAAAACAGTTTCTAGACCTTTCTTGGGGAGACTCCAGCCCAACACTGCTGCCGGAACTGCCGTCGTGCTCGGGGGCGGGGATGGGGCTAGGAGGCGATGACGCCCCCTCTTCCTGCCAACGGGAAACAGCCTCTCCCCCCCAACAGGTGCACAGGCCCCTCCTGTACAGATGCCCAGCTGCACTGCCCTCCTGTCTCTGGCGACCACGCTAAGCTGCAAATGCCTCAGAGGCAGAGCCCACTCACACAGCTCCGTGCACACAGAGGTTCCAAGAGAGCTGAGCCGAATTTAACCAAATTCTGGAACAACAGGGTGGTTAAACTTATGAGCGCGTCTGGGAGCCTGACATTTTTGGTTTCTCACTACAGAGGCTCAAAGGTCTAGCAAACTTTTTAAAATTCCCACCTGGAAAGTGAGATAATTAGGACGGGAGTCTTGAAACCCACTGCCAGCCCTAGGGAGTAGCAGAGAACGCCCCCCCCCCTCGGGTGCTTGGGGTTTCGAAGTTCTAAGGACCAGCTGGGATCTGAAGTGTGGGGGTACCCGCCTGGCAGGGCTGTCAAGTGTGGGGTGCCCGCCTGGCAGGGCTGTCAAGTGTGGGGTACCCGCCTGGCAGGGCTGTCAAGTGTGGGGTACCCGCCCTGGAGGGCTGTCAAGTGTGGGGTGCCCGCCTGGCAGGGCTGTCAAGTGTGGGGAGCCCACCCGCCTGGGAGGGCTGTCAAGTGTGGAGTACCTGCCTGGCAGGGCTGTCAAGTGTGGGGTACCCGCCCGGCAGGGCTGTCAAGTGTGGGGTACCCGCCCGGCAGGGCTGTCAAGTGTGGGGTACCCGCCCGGCAGGGCTGTCAAGTGTGGGGTACCCACCTGGCAGGGCTGTCAAGTGTGGGGTGCCCGCCTGCAAGGGCTGTCAAAGCATGCAGGGAGGCGGCAGGGGGAGCCCTCGAGGCCCGGGGCACCCGCCTTACCCGAGTGGTGGCGTCCACCGCGACACCGTGTCTGACCAGCACGTCTGCCACCGGGACGTGGCCTTCCTGTGCCACCAGGTGGAGGGGTGTGAGTCCACTCTGCAAATAAAATGACATTCGTCACCTTCTGGCCTGTAAAGACTTCGGACCACAATGACAGAGCCCTGAGGTCTGGGAGCTTAACCCGGCTCCGTTGCCACCGACAGCTACGTGACCCTGGGCAAAGCTCTTCCTATTCTGGGCCTCGGTACCCTCATCTGAAAACAAGGAGGATAAACTAGATCAGGGGTTGGCAACTTTTTCTGTTACCGGCCAGATCATCAATATCTTAGACTGTGTCTCTGTAGCAACTACCCGACTCTGCCAGTTGTGGTAACAAAGTGGCCAAGGCCAACACATAAGGGAATGGGCATGGCTATGTTCCAATAAAGCTTTATTTACACAAACAAGTGGTGGGCTGGATTTGGCCCATGGGCCGTAGTTTGCTGACCTCTGATGTGGGTGAGCTTTGTGGTACCTTCCCATCGTAGATACTTTATGGTTCCTTCTGGGAACCCCCTAATTCCATGGTAAATTTCAGAGCCATGGCTTCCTAATGTAGACAACAGAGATCATCCCTGGTATATCTCAAGGCCGAGGTGAGGATCACCCGAGAAAGCACAGCCAAAAGTACTTTGAATAGCACACGGTGCCATATATGTGCAGCATACTACTGTGTAGCGCCGCAGAAGGGTGGAGGGTCCCGCGGGGAGTGAACGCCCCCATCCCGGTGACAAACAGCTCTCTCGTGAGCGTGAACGTATGAGAGATGCCGTCTGCTATGTGGGCACTCACAGAAGACTACCAGAAAACCACTCTGCCCCGTCCCTTGTCTCAGCGCCCTGTGCTAACTGGGACAGCAGAGCTCCGACTCCTCCGTGCTCACAGCCAGTGTCCCTTCTACGGGGACCCTACGGGCACCCCTGCCTTCTGCACGTCCCCTGCGACGACCAAGGGCTCTGAGCTGACTCTGCAGCTGTAGCTCCAGCAGGCAGCCACTCCCGCTTGCCACGGCGGTCAGGGCCGGCTCCGGGGACAGTGGCCCACGACTGGGTGGTCACTGTGTCAGCTGAAAGCCCCTCGTCTGGGCTCCCTGCCCGGTTCCTGGGATGACACCGGCAACCCGCCTGCCGAGCGCGTCGTGTGCAGGGGAGAGCACGTTTCCCGTTCAGAGTGGCCGTCATCACTGCTGTCTCCTTGCTTTAGTGACACAAGGAGGAGACCCAGGACGCCACGGAGTGTGGCGGTCCTACTGCAACAGTCACGGGATTTGCCATCTACAGAAGCGGCACTTCGTGCTGTGTGATTCCGTGTACACGAAATGTCCACAACAGGCAAATTCACAGAGACAGTAGATTCGTGGTTTCCAGGGACCAGGGAGTTTGGGGGGGCGCGGGAAGTGGCTGCTAATGGGTGTGGGCTTTCCTGTTGGGGCGAGGAAATGTTCTGAAGTTACATGGTGTTGATGGTTGCCCAATTCCGTAAATGTGCTAGAAACCACGGAATGGTACAGTTCAAAAGGGTAAATTTTATGTGAATTATATTGCAATAAGATTGTTATTAAAAAAAGAACTCTTAGTATTTCTTGGGTCGTGCATTCCTTTAATAAGCTAAAGAACACTATGAATACCTCACCCAGAAAACATGCATGTGTCCTTTCTCCCCAGATGCCCCGTCCAGCTTTAGAAGGCTTTATGTGCATGCACTCTTGCCCCTGGATTAAGAACTTCTAATGTATAGGTATTTTATTTTATTTATTTATTTTCTTTTCTTTTTTGAGACAGAGTCTCACTTTGTCGCCCAGGCTAGAATGAGTGCCGTGGCGTCAGCCTAGCTCACAGCAACCTCCAACTCCTGGGCTCAAGCGATCCTCCTGCCTCAGCCTCCCGAGTAGCTGGGACTACAGGCATGCGCCACCATGCCCGGCTAAGTTTTTCTATATATATCAGTTGGCCAATTAATTTCTTTCTATCTATGGTAGAGACGGGGTCTTGCTCTTGCTCAGGCTGGTTTCGAACTCCTGACCTCGAGCGATCCGCCCGCCTAGGCCTCCCAGAGTGCTGGGATGGCAGGGGTGAGCCACCGCGCCCGGCCTATGGGTATTTTAAAAATATCTTCCTCCACGGAACATGAACATTCAGTACCAAGTCAGTTAACAGAGGCCTGAACGCAGACTCTGGCCTGTATCTGCAAAGGGGACCTCGGATTTCATGGCGAAGGCCTTGCAGACCCTACCGTCGGCAATGCTTAGAGAGACGGCACAGCGCGGTGGCATCGGCAAGGGCTTTGGCATCAGCCGGCCGCGGAGTCCCACAACCTGGGCCGAAAGTGACCTTCCTGACCCTGGGTTTTCCTTGAGGGAACTGAGGCCACACGTAGGGCTGTTGTAAGGGTTGTACACGCCCCGCCCAAGGCAGGACCCGGCACACGCAGGTGCTCTGTGTGCAGATGTCATCCCTGGTTAGAGGACCCCGATGCGGCACTGCAACCAAGACCCCAGGGCGCCGTGCTCACCTTGTTCCCCAGGTTGCCGTTGGCTTGCTTCGAGAGGAGCAGAGCGACCATCTCCGCGTGACCCTCCTGCGCAGCCAGGTGGAGGGGAGTCACGCCCTGCACGGACTCCGCGTTGGCCGAGGCCCCGTACTGCAGCAGGCTGCGGGCCCCCTCCATCTGGTTCTGCTTGGCGGCGATGTGCAGAGGGGTGTAGCCATTCTGAAACGGAAGGAGCCACCCGGGGCCTGGTTACAGGAACGCTGAGTTGGCAGTACGGGTGCGGGAGGGAGGGCTGGGCCTGGTGCTCAGCCAGCTGGACACCCACAGAGCAGGGCTGGTACCGCTCCAAGAGCAATTTAAGCAAACAAACAAACAAAACCCATTTGATTTGGAGATAGCGCCTCAGGCTCCCGCAGCCAACGCAAACGCCTGCCCCCTTTTCCACCATCTACTTCCCTGGCAGGACACGCTGTCACGGGGAGAGGCTGGGATCCCTTAGGCAGCCACAGCACAACTGCAGGGCCAGGTAAGCAGGTGAACCGGGTTCTCGTCTCCTCCCTCCTGCAAGGAGGGCCACAAGCCCCAGCAGCAGCTCTGTTTCTTTCCCTGTACAACTGCACAGACGCCGCCCTCTGGGCCTGCCTGCTAGCATCAGGCACGGTGGCATTTGGGGACACGTGGCGAGCAAGGGACTTGTGGACCTGGGAGCCGGTCTTCACCCCACTCTTAACTATCCGTGTGACCCAGAGCAAGACGTCCAGCGACCTAGACTTCCTTCGGTATGTTTTAAGTGGTATAAGAACAGCTACCTCGTTGGGTTTTCAAAGCTATCGGGTGGGCTGGACATGGTGACACACGCGAGGGTGGTTTCCGAGACTAAGACCCACGTGCCCCTGGCTCGAAAGAGTGCGGCCCGAGTAAACCCAACTGCATCGCTGTGCGCTGCTTATTCAGCTGACTTTGTATTTCTACTATTGTTTTGACAGCAAGACTCTCCCGATGGAGGAAGCAGGACGAGGTGTAGCTAGCGGAGCCAGCTCGCAGGCGGGCGGCTGTGTCCGCCACTGTCAAAAACCACTTTCATCTCAGCTGTCTCTTCTGAGCTTCACCACAACCACGGAAGGCAAGCAGAGCAGGCATTTTTATGATGATCCCATTTTGTGGATAAAGAAGCCAATTCTCTGAGAGGCCTCATCTAATGTCACTTAGTAAGTGGAGCAACAGATAGCCCAGCTCCGACCCTCGACTCCACAGCCCAGGTCATTTCGGCCAGAACGGTGCCTATCGAGCTCTGACGTGCACACAGAGCACTTGGGGCCGGTTAAAATGCAGACTCTGATTCAGAAGATCTGGGAGAGGCTGAGAGATCCTGCACGTCTACGAAGCCCCTGGGCGAAGCTGGTGCTGCTGGTCCGGGGAACGACGCTTTGAGCAGCAGGGCCCGGGGCGCGCAGGGTCGGGGCGCGCAGGGTCGGGGCGCCGGACCCCTGGGCACGTGCCCGGCCCAGGCTGCAGCAGTGGGACTCCCGCGTGTCTGTCTCAGGGCGTGCGAGGCGCCCTCCAGCCGTCCCCGAGGACTGAGTCCTCCCCTGGCAGCCACTGTCTGACCGTGGAAACCAACATCTCTGATTCTGCCAGGATCACCGGCCAGGAAAAGGAAAGAGGCCCAGGGGGCAGGGAAAAGGACGTCAAGGCCAGGCTGTAAAAGTGGCCTTTATGGACAAAGTGAAAAGTTGTGATTTACCCAAATAATTAAATTAAATCAAAAGAGCATCTCATTGAAGAATCACGTAATTCTTTCTAGTATTTCTCCTTCTTAATTTAATTATGTTAAGAGAGAACACTGAATTGTTCTCTGCAGGTTGCGTTCATGTAGCAAGACTGACATTCTGATTATAATAAAATCAATGAAACAAAATGATTGTTGGGCCATATCAAAAGAGGGCAAAGAAAAAAGATGTGACTCCACGGATCTGGCCTGAGGTTTGGAGCCTATCGCCTGCGAGGAGCGTGTCCTGGAACGTCCAGGCCCAGGTGCCGCTGTCGGACGGACCGGGATGAGGCCCTGAGCGCCCACCCGGCTGGCGCCGGGCCCAGGCAGGGGTTCGCTATATGGAAGCACGATGGCCAGGACTTCTTTCTGCACACACAGGGGAGTCCCTCGAGCCATCTCAAGCAGATTCGTGGATGCACAATCGGGACTCCCAAGCCACTCAGGCAGCTGTGGGTGGCCACCCTGGCAGGGACAGCACCCTGGCAGGCAAAGGGAAGCTCGCCCTGGAGCTGGCACAGGCTCCCTGGTAGCCCCTGGTTAAAACGGAGAGGCAAGAGCCACCGCATGCGCTCAGAACATGGACTGCCCTTCCGGGGTTCCCCCAAACTAGGACGCCAAAGAAACCACGAATGGCCTTCTGCAGGTGACAAGGACAATGGGGCGGCTAGGCTGGGGGGTCAGGGGAGGTCAGGGAGGGACACGTGCCCTTAAAAGGCTCCTCTTTCCCAAGGAAATGAGATCACCCACGGGAATGCAGGCAGGAGAGAGCGTGGCCTCAATGTTAAAACAACATCAGCATCAAAATTAGAAAGGCAGGGTTTGGTTTGGGTGCAGAGAGATTTGCATGTGAAATTCTACAAAATTGCCAGACTACTTGGAAACTATTTTTTGCCATGGAAACAAAGCCCATCTGTACAGGGTTTGTGCTTGGATTTAGCTCTCTTTAAATACCATGAACCTGGCTCCGGTTCCCTTTACATAAGGAGGAGAGTGAGGAGGAGGAGGAAGGGAGTCCAGCTTTTTATTTTTAGAGGCAGGAGTAAGCCGGCAGCTCGGCGGGGCCGCGTGCTCCCTCTGCACCGTGACCTGGGCTCCCCGCGTTGGCGGAGTCTGGGCGGGGCTGCAAGGCCGAGGGGAGGGGAAAGCAAACCCGGCCCAGAGCTGACCCTCCCCGCCTGGGGGCTGCCCCAAGCCAGCAGGGTCAGCTGGAAGCAGGACGACCCACCTGGCTCCCTTCTCTGTAGCTCTTGGACTCCCGCCATGACTGTGACCGGGGCTCGCTCCCCGGAAACTACCGGCTAAGAGCTTGCCTCGGCCTGGCCGGCCCTGCCTGCCCTCAGCACCTCCAACCCTCCTGCCCCTCCCCTGCTACCTGGGCCGCCGGCCACACGGCGCGCTCCCTGCAGACGCGAACCCCACATGGGGCGGGGGCAGCCTGTTCCCGGGACCGGTCCTTGTGGGTCGGGCTCCACCTTGCACCACCAACGCCCGGGCGTCACCCTCCACGGCGCTGCCGCCCACCCGCGCCCGCCACGCTGGCTCCCCAGAGGGGTCTGCTGCCTGGTGGCTCGTTTCAGAGGCTGGCGTGAGGCTGGCGCCAGGGCGTCTGTCCCGTGCGTGGCGTGCGCAGGTGTGCCTCCTTGCAAGAAGAGCCACGATGGGCCTAGAAGTCTGATCTCAGGAAGAAGTAAGTCTGGAGGTGATCACCCCCATTCACAAGGGGCTCCTTGCTCACCCACAGCCCTGAACATTCTCAAAGTGTGGCCCCCGCCTGAGAGCCACCTGGGGAGCGGGCCAGAGACGGGGCTTCCGGGCCAGGCCGGGCAGCCCGCCGCGCCAGGATGTCTGGGAACGAGGCCTCGACTCTGCGCACGGTCTCATCCTCGGTGACCTCTGCCAGGCAGCCGACAACACAGCCGGCTCGCGGCTGCCTGGGGACCAACTTGCGAAGTGAGTTCCACCTCTGCGGGTGACCCCTGTGTCACCACGCCCGTCCCACGCTGGGTCCCCGGCAGCAGAGTTGTGCTGCAGGTGGCGCCCATGACAGCCAGGTGAGATTCCGAGGTCGACGTGACAAGGAAACACAAAGCCCCTCTGCTGCTCTCCAGACCCCCTCCCCGAAGGACTGCGGCCGGCCGTGCAGGCGGAGGGCTGTGGGGCCTTACCCAGGCCGGGCTGTGCGGCGAGCCGCCCCGAGGAAGCAGCAGTCTGACGACGTCCAGGCTGTTGTGGTGGACGGCCACGTGCAGGGGCGTCAGGCCGCTCTGCGGGGACAGAGGGGACAGAGAGAGTGGACTTCACTCCGGTGCGCTCTTCAGACGCAGGGCCCGTACTGGGATCCAAAGCACTGATCGATTTATGCATTTTTTGAGACAGAGTATTGCTCCGTAGCCCAGGCTGGGGTAGGGCGGCACCATCACAGCTTACGGCCTGGAACTCCTGGGCTCAAGCGATCCTCCTGCCTCAGCCTCCTCAGTAGATGGGACTACAGGCATGAACCACCACTACACCCAGCTAATTAAAGAACTTTTTTTTTAGAGATGGGGTCTTGCTATGTTGCCCGGGCTGGTCTCAAACTCCTGGGCTCAAGTGATCCTCCCACCTTGGCCTCCCGTAGTGCTGCTGAGATTGCAGGCGTGAGCCACCATGCCGGGCCCGAAGCACTTGCTTCCCACAGGTAAAATCTAGCCACACATCCCCGCAAAGCCGGTCCTGACTTGGTGTCACTACAGGATGTAACCACAGGACCCAGGGCCGCCTCCTCATTCCTGAGAAGAGGGCGGGCAGAGACGGAAGCTCAGCTCTGCAAGGGCCCCTCTCCCCTCGGTGGCCACCCTCTCCCCCTGCCCTCCCCTCGGTGGCTACCCCTCTCCCCCTGCCCTCCCCTCGGTGGCTACCCTCTCGCCCTGCTCTCCCCTCCGGTCCGAGGGCCCGGCCCACCTTGCCCGCGGCGTTGGGGTGCGCGTCCCGCTCCAGCAGCAGCTCTGCCACCCGCACCTTGCCATACTTGGCCGCCACGTGGAGGGGGGTGAATCCTTTCTGAGGAGAAACACAGGCCGTCAGGACCTCGGCCTCGCCCGGGCAGGCGGGCGGGGGTCAGGCGGACGCCCACGGAGCCCCGGCCCGGCGGGACTGGCCTGCCGCTGCTTCCAAGCAGGAGGAAGAAGGCCGTACCTTGGTCATGCAGGCCTGGGACGCGTCCTTTCCCAGGAGGGCCAGGGCGGTCTCCACGTGGCCCTCGCGGGCGGCGATGTGCAGGGGCGTGTGCCCGGCAGTGGTGGCCAGGTTCGGGTTGGCGCCGCTCTCCAGCAGGAGCGCCACCATGTCCGTGTGGCCGATGCGAGCCGCACAGTGCAGCGGGGTCTGGTCATCCTGCACCCGCGGGGAAAACAAAGGGCAGGAGATGCGGAAGGTGAGGCCCAGGGAGGGTGAGTGGCCTTCTCAAGGTCACACAGCTAAGAAGACGAAGAACTGGGATCTCGGAGTTACAGAAACCAGCATGTTCTATCTTACTCCGTCCCTACAGCGACCTTGGCTGTTATTTCTACTCAATTGCCCAAAGGCTCAGCCTTCCCATCAGTGAAATGGGAACGACGACATCTGCCTCCCCGGGGAGCGTCGGGATCTGGCCTATAACGTGCGCGTCTCCAGACTGTTGGTGCGTGAAGGCACTCAGTGCATCGCGGTCGCTGACACACGCCTCCCAAGTCCCTTCTGAGTGGACACGCTTGTCTTTCCTGTTTGATTCTCTGTCTTTCTGTTCTGACTCTCCCTACACCAGGCGAGAGTCTAACTGCCGAGCAGGGACGGCGACTTTTCCATCCACCCCGCCCCACTTCCGGTTTCTGGCTGGTGCTGACGGCTCCGTGTGCGATGTCTCTGTGCCACGCGGCCCTGCCCCAGGCACCCGTCACGCGGCCCAGACATCAATCACAGTCCTCAACCCAAGGGAGCCTCTGCCACCAGTGGCCAGGGAGGCCCGACGCTGGCAGGCCAGCTCTGCAGCCATCCTCACTGTCCGCTCAGCCAACCGAAAATGCAAAGACGCGTTCACAACAAGGGGGAATCCTGCGATTTTAGATGGAGCAGCTCCTGGCTGGTTTTCACTGGCAACACCGTCTTTAAAAAGTTGCCTCCTTCCTACACCACAACTGGCACCAGCGGCCCGACGCGCGTTGCGGCCAGCCACACTCCTTGGGCTTTCGTTTATTTTAAAGAAATGTGGCTCTGACACAGAAGTATCTCATGCTTTCTCAGACCTGCCCCGCCGCCCCCACCCACGACACAGCATCTGGGCGTCCAGAGGGACCTCGACGGGAACGACAAGTGGTTCCTGGGCCACAGGCACTGCAGCCCAGCCTGTGGCCCAGGATGGAGGGTGGAGGCAGGGGTGGAGGCAGGGGTGGAGGCAGGACCGTCCCTTCCCAGCTCCAGAACTCACCTTGGCCTTGGCATTGACTTTGGCTTTGTTCTGCAGTAAGTATTTGGCCACTTCCGTGTGCCCTGCTCTGGCTGCCATGTGTAGTGGGGTCTCCACTTTCTGTAAAAGGAAAACATTACACAACAGTTAACACACGCCGGCTTTGCACAGTGCTCCAACACGCCAACCTGGAGTGGCACGGTGGGTTTTTGTCCAAGAGGTGGAGCTGTCCCAGCAAGTAGCCCTCTAACCTCTTGTGTACACGAGAGCGTGCGTGCGCGTGTGTGTGTGTGTCTGTGCGTGCGTGTGTATTCTAGGTATACGTAAGAGTAATCCCAGAGCTGATGAATATTCAAAAATGTAAATGAATTCACAGTTAACACTTACAGACGGTCCAAAATTATCGTCCAAAAGAAAAGCCCCAAGATTTACAGACGCGGCGTGCTCGGGCGGGAAAGTGTCATTCAGAGGGGTGCTTCCCCGAGTCTCTCGGGGCGCAGAGGGGTGCAGCCACCTCTCTCCTGAGGATTCTGCCTGTCCCCAGAGCGGCCCCAGCGGAAGCTCCGCTGCGCTGCTGGCCCAGAGCAGCAGAGCCCTGGCGCTGCCCGCGAGCTCACTCACCACGTTGGAGACGTTGGGCGACGCGCCCCGCTGCAGGAGGTTCTTCACGATGGGCAGGTGCCCCATGAAGGAGGCCACGTGGAGCGGCGTCAGGCCAGACTGGAACGGACGGGAGCAGAGTGAGACCCCGCTACCCCAAAGAAGACAGCGCCGGATAGCGCCCGGGCTTTCATGAACCGTTTTCCGGGCAAAGGGAGTTAAATGAGGTAGGTTTGCTTCCAAGAAAAAGGACTGGAGAGAAAGACAAACCCCCGCAGCACAAGTGCTGCCCATTTTACAGCTCGCGAAACTCGAGTCTGATCTTGGAAGCTCCCTGAGGCTGGACACGCGTTCCCTGGCCTGGGCTGCCACGGATCAGGCCCCTTCAGCAGGCCCAGCACATCGAGACACACGGCACGGCCCGGCGCGCTCGGCGGCCGGCCAGGGCATGGCGACAGGCCGGGGCAGGCTCGGGGCGGCTCGGGGGGCAGGGCTAGGGCGCACGACGGCCAGGTGTCGGAGGCTGCCACCGGGGCCGGGGCACGGGGCCGGGCACGGCCGGCGGTCGGGCACGGGGGGCGGGCTCGGGGCCAGGGCACCGGGGGGTTGCCGGACGGCCAGGGCATGGGAGCCGCTCGGCCAGGCACGGGGGGCCAGGGCCCGGAGCGCCAGCAGGGGGCGGGTCGGGGGGCTGGGCACGGGGGGCCGGGCGCGGGGCGGGGCACGGGGCCGGGCTCGGGGAGCCAGGGACCGGGGGTGCACCGGGGGCAGGGCATGGAGGCCGGAGCCGGGGGGGCCCAGGCACGGGCGGCGGGGCTCGGCCCCGGCCACGGGCGGTGGGCACGGGAGGTGCAGGCATGGGGGCCAGGCTCGGGGGCCAGGCTCGCGCGCCCTCGCGCGGCCGGCTTCCTACCATCGGTGACCGCTGTCGCATGGGGAGCTGCGCCCGTCTTCAGCAGCAGCTCCATGACTCGGATGTGGTTCTTCTTGCAGGCGATGTGCAAGGGCGTGAAGCCGTTCTGCAGCCCGCGCAGAGAGAGACATCCGCAGGCCCGCTTACTCGCCGCCCAGGGACACCCGGAACACCCCCTCCTGCTCTAAGAAGCAGCCTCCGCCCAGCCCGTCCGCAGACACCCACAGACCCGCTGATGAATCGATGTCGATTGATTAATCTTGTAATGCCGACGAATGCCAATCAGGTAAGAGGCAGGTGGCTGTCACTCTATGCATCAGATATATTCTTAAGTATGATATCTACAAACTTCTTAAAGAATGTTTAATTACGCTTCCGGATGCACCACGAGAGCCTGCAGTTCAAAGCTCCCTTGAGGGTAAATGTACAGTGAAGCCTACTTTTGTGAACGGACCGTGTTCCGTCTGCCCTGAGCCACTGCTGGCTTCAGGGAAGGGGTCTCTGCTCTGCGGCGGGCACTGGCGCACGCTCCGTCTCTGTTTTCAGTGCTTTGCCCCCTTCAGGCAGTGGCGCTCAAACTAGGGGAACTGGCAGGGAGGTGGGTAAGGTTTGCACCCCCTACACATGGGGCAACCTCTGGGGACATTTCCGATCGTCAGGACTAGCAGAGGCGAGCTCTTAGTGCCTAGTGGGGAGAGGCCAGAGACGCTGCGAAGTGCCTATAAGGCACAGGACCACAATCGCCGACTCCAACCGTCAGCAGGCCTGAGGCTGGGAAGCCCCAGCTGCCCTAGGGCAGCAAGTGGCCCGTGGGCAGCGCTCGGTGAAGGCTTTTGTGAGTGAGGGAATGAGCGAGTGAATGGACCAGCCATCCTCCGCCATCTCCCCATCCTCTGCTGGGCTCCTCTGGAGGGGGCTGCCGGGACGGTGGTCTCGGGTGTGCCCTGTGCAAATCCGCGGCCCCACCAGATCCCTGCATGGTCCTGGGGGCCCCTGGGCTGGGGGGGTGGGGAGAGGGACCACGGCCACAGCAGAAATCCTCCTTCCGCACGGGTGCCATGGAAACCGTAAGGTGCTCTGCAGAAGAGGGACGCCTAGCTCAGGCCGCCTTACCCACAACAAGGCAGGTAAAAAAGGCAGGTGCCGCTAAGAAACCACTGCCCCCAGCCCATGTGCCTGCTGTGGGCACTGCTTCCTGAGCCAGGGCCCTGGGCCCAGGCCCTCCTGACTGCGGCCGGGTCCTCAGACTGGATGTGCTGGGGGGGTGCAGGACAGGTGCACGCAGGGTCCCTGCCTGCCTATGCGGTCATAGCTCGCCACTCTGGGCCTGGACCCAGGGGTGCCCAGGCCCCTGCTGCCCTGGCCATGGGCCCAGCCTCGCAGCCCTGGCCCTGCCCCTGCCCCTGCCCCCCGGAACCTTCTCCGGTGGCCGCCTACTCACCAGGGCTCTGGAGTTGGGTTTGGCCCCTTTATCCAAGAGGACCTTGGCCACCCTGTGGTGGCCGCAGTGGGCCGCCACATGCAGTGGAGTCAGGTGGTCCAGGGTGACGTCGTCGATCTCTGCGTCGTACTGCAGCAGCAGCCGGACACAGTCGAGGTGGTCTCCCTGAGCTGCCATGTGGATCGGGGACAGGCCATTCTGAGGGGAGAGGGAAACACGAGCCATCGCAGAGCCTTCCGGGGACAGAGCACGGAGATTCAGGACAACGGTTCCAGTGCCCTGCCCTGCTTCTCCCCTGCACGGCGCACCCACGCGGCTCGGCTCACGCTCCCGGAGCCGGCCTCCACGCTCCCGTGGGCCCCTGACACACCTGCACACACCCTCCTTCCCCCCCGGCCAAACCCTCAAAGTCACGTCCAACAGGTGGACCTCCTCTGGGAAGCTGCCCCGGCCAGGCACGACTCCTGCGGGCTCTCCTCACCCGGCCCCTGCGTCAGGGCCCGCCTCACACTCGCCGGGCCCGCTGGGAGCCAGCTTTCCAGGGCCGTGCCTCTGTGCCTGGCATGCCTCGAATGCCCCCCAGTGCCAGCACGGGCAGGTGACACTCCCGGTGGCCCTTAACTATGTCACGTTGACTGAATGAACGATGGCAAAACAGACCTTGCAGCTACATCCGCTGTGCTTTTTCCCTAACAAATGCACTTGAGTTTAAAAACAAAAGAAAATTCTGTTAAGGGTGCTCACTGTTTCCCTGACAGCAGTTTGTCCCCAAAACATTGAAAGCTGAGGCGACCCACTCATTCATTCAGACATTAAGTCAACACACACGCAGGGACGGTCTGGGTTCCGCCCTGGGGAAAGAGGAGGGGACAGCCCCTGGCGCTGTGAGGGGCCGGGTCGGCTGACCCAGCAAGGACGTGCGTGCGGCAAGGGAGCCCCCGAGCAGGGAGGCAGAGGCGGCTTCCTGGAGGAGGGGGCCCAGAGCAAGGACCTGACGGGAGGGAGAATGAGTTCACCGGGAAGAGTCCCCCAGCAGAGGGTGCGGCTCTGAGGCGCCCCCCCAGGGCAGTTCGGGGACCTCCAGGCAGGTGACTGGGCAGGAGGGCACGCGGGAGGGGGCACAGGGCCGGGCTGCAGGGGAGGCGGGAGCTGGGGGCCTGGAACTGCCCCTGCTGGAGAGAGGGCTTGCGGCCAGGAAGGAGCACGGGCCCGTGGAATGGTGTCTCCCTGCAAAGGTGCGTGTTCTGGACCCAGCCCCCGGGGACTCAGGATGTGGCCGTGTTTGGAAACGGGGTCTCTGCAGCCGTAATGAGCTGAAACGAGGTCACCAGCGCGGGTCCTAATCCAGCGACTGGTATCCTTAGAAACGGGGAATTTGCACACGCGCGCGCACAGGCAGGGAAAATGCCACTTGGAGACGGAGGCAGAGATTGGGGGGCTGCTTGTGCAAGCCGTTTGCGGTTTCGGGCCAGGAGCTGGGGGGGCCCTGGGACAGATTTTCTCTCACGGCCTGGGAAGGAACCAGCCCTCCGACACGTCAGGCTCAGAGCTCAGCCTCCGGAAATGTGACTCGGTGCACTGCTGCGGCTTGCGCCCGCGCCCGGCGCTTGGCTATGGCAGGCCAAGTGGGCACAGTTAGTTTCTAAACTGCAGTTTAGAAAGGTCGGACCACGGTTCTCGACTCAAAAATCAGCAATTCTCAGTAAAGAATTTTCATAAACACCCTTTTTAGCCCCATTCAAATAACCTGCATAATAGAAAACCTTTAATAACTTAGGAGTAGTTATGTAAGTTTAAATACAGGGCTTCCGTGGAGAAATGCTGAGAATTTCCTGACCTAATAACATAATTGGTAGCAGCAACTCTACTTTTGTTTCTCTGAGGATTTTTACTTTTATATATACTTTTGAAGACTTTATCTCATGTGATCGTCCCAACAACAACGCTAGGAGAGAGGGCTGGGGCCCTTCAGATGGGAAATCGAAGCACAGAGAGGGTGAGAGGCATACCCAAAGTCACACAGCAAATCAGCCATGGAAACTTCCCGAGTGTCTGTGAACAGGTCTGGATTCTGCCTTGTTCTGCTTCAATGCACCTTCTAAACTCACAGGCTGGGGCCTGGAGAAGGCACAGCAGCACTGTGTGGCCAACAGCTTTAGCCCCTCACACCAGAACTAAGGGATGGGCCTTTGCTCTGATCTCTAAAGGAACCTGAGAAGAACTGTTTTGTTTTCTTAACTTCACTTAGGCCCAAGACCCCAGGACCTCCAAGCGCTCATCAGATTGCTATCTTTTCTGGAGCTACGATGAAAGAGATGGGGATTGATCTAGAGCAACAGTAGGCAAACTACAGCCCGTGGGCCAAATCTGGCCTGCCCCCTGTGTTTGCAAATAAAGTTTTGTTGGAACACGGCCCCTAGTTTGCACATTGCCTACGGCTGCTTATGGCTGCTTTGGCTGCTTTTCTGCTACATCGGCAGGGCTGAGCCACTGCAACAGAGACCGTGGCCTGCAAAGCCTAAAACGATTTGATGCCTTTACGTGAAGAGTTTGCTGGCTCCGATCCAGGGCTATACTGAGTGCCCCTGATGTGACAGGCCTGTGGTGACTGTCCCATGCGCTATCTCATTGGGTGGTATCAGCGCCTCTGTCCTGCAGAAACGGGATCTGGCCCTCAGTCTGTCTGACCTGGGGCCCTGCCTAAGAGATGCTGCAGACGGGAAGGAGCACGCGACGCACCTTGGTTTTGGCTTGGATGGGTGCCCCGTGGTCCAGCAGGATCTCTGAGATTCGCACGTGCCCGTTCCGAGCTGCACAGTGGAGAGGTGTCAATTCATCCTTTAAAAGACAGAGCCCAAAACAAAAGAAGAAGCCCAAAGGCAGCTGTCAGAGGCCGTGTGGGGAGAGGAGTGCTTGCGGCATCTCCCCGGCCACAGAGGTGCTGGGGTTTCCTCAAGCACAGTTTTGGGACAGCCCCCGCCGGGCGGCGGGAGGCTCCTGGGGGCGGGGCTCCCTCCGGGCCGGGCTGGCCGCGGGCACCCACCTTGGTCCTTGTTTCTATCTGGGCTCCCCGGTCCAGCAGGAGCCGCACCATGATCACGTTCCCCCTGCGGGAGGCGATGTGCAGCGGCGTGATGCCGTTCTGGAGGGAGGAAGCAGGACAGTCAGGGTGCACGCAGCCGCAGCTGCGCACCCCGCCCCCCTCCACGCACCCCCACCCCACCCCCGGCCCGCAGCCCGCCATTAGGGCATTTCTGGCCTACGAGAGACCTTGAAAGCCACTGAGACCTGCCGGCAAGGCTAGCCAAGCCCACGCCTCCCGGGGTCAGCGTGAGGGCTGAGGAAATCGTCCCCCGCCCTCTCCAAGTGCCACCCCGAGAACCGGCCAACAGGCTTTCCAGTCCTCTCCAGACAGAAGGTGGGAACCGAGGGTCGGGTGACAGGCGGCGGGGAGCCTGCTGCACGTGCAGGCTGGCCCTCGGGCATCTCCGCGCCAGGGGAGCACCGGCGCCAAAGCCAGAGGCAGCGGCGCCTGCCTTCCACCGGCCCCGCCCGCACGGCAAGAGCGCCTGGCGAGAGGTCACCTGTGGCGTGAAGTTGACGCTGGCCCCCCTGTTGAGGAGCAGCTGGGCCACGCTGAGGTTCTCGTAGTGAGCTGCGATGTGCAGGGGCGTGAATCCCGTCTGGGGAAGACAGAGGGAGGCGAGAGTCAGGTGCCGATCACCGGCAGAAGGGGACGCGCCCCGAGCTGCGTGCGGAGCGCCCCAGTGCCGCTCACAGGGACGAGCCGCAGAGCAGGCCGCCTCGGACTACAGGGCCATCCGCTGAGTGACCGCTGGCGAAGCCGTTTCGAGTCACAAATGGGAAGCGGCACAAGGGCCACGGCCCTAAGTCCCGGGCCGCTTCCGTGACCCTTCCGGACAGGCCTGGCCACTCCGCTGGACAAAGGCAGGCTCCGGGCCCCTGGCAGGCCCAGCAGGGTCATCACTCCATTCCGGAACCTCAGGCCGTTTTCAAGGCCCGTCCCGCCCGGCCCGGACACTTTTCTGGGTGGCCTGGAGCAAGCAGAGCCACCGCCTGGGCCACGCCCAGAACACGGGCCCTGGCGTCCCCAGGGGTGGGGGTGGGCTGTCCACCCCGGCCCTCCCGCCTTCTGGGAGCGGGTGCTCCGCCCGGCCACAGTCTGGGCGCATCCCCGGGCAACTACGGGCAGGGGGTGCCCCTGCGGCCTGCAGGCCCCAGGTCCGGGCCACGCTCACCTTGGAAAGCACGTCGGGGTTGGGGTCGTTCTGCAGAAGCACCGCCGCGGTGCGCGTGTCGTCGTTGCGGGCCGCGATGTGCAGGGCCGGCAGGCGCACCTTGCCCTTCGTGCCGTAGTTGATGAGGTGGGCCACCACGTTCTCGTGGCCCTGCTGCAAGGCCACGGCGAGGGGCGTGAAGCCGTCCTGGGGGAGG